TGTGTGTGTGTGTGTGTGTGTGTGTGTGTGTGTGTGTGTGTGTGTGTTGCAGGGTGGTCTCCCCCTTAGCTCCCCTTAGTTGCTGGAGGCAGCAGAGGCCTGGGTGGGTTTCCCTCATTCCCACTGTGGGGGGCACTGGCCTGTGAGGGGGTCACAGAGAGATGACTAGAAAACCCAGGCTCCCTGATTGCGCCCGCCCACTCCCACTGCAGCTCCTGGCTGGGCAGGGCCCAGCTCATTCCTGCTTCCAAAGGCACACTGACTCCATGCCTGTAACATGGGTCCCCTCGGCCCACACCACACTTAGGCATTGTGGGTAAGAGCCAGAACAAACTCTGGATCTCACGATGCCGGACGATCAGTTGATTTGCCACAGCCTTTTCCACGTTCACCACCAAGGGAACCAGGATTCTGACAGATGCAGTTTTCAAACTGGTGAACACAGTAGGAAGAGTTTGGGGTTTCTCCTTACTTGTGTTTGTTTCTAACATGCCCATTTAGACGACTTGAGGCCTTAGGGATGGGGGCTGGGCTCCTCTCTGCACCTGTTCCCAGGATTCATGTTGCTGCCCAACAAGCAGCTGTTCTGATCCCATGGTTTCATTGCCCAACCTCACTTAGCACTGACTCGCCTTTAAGGCTTCAGTAAACTTTCTTCCTAATGGCATCAAGGTGCAAGCCATTTCCACTGTCTTCTGATTTGCAGAAGCTGAGCCCGAGAAGGGCTCATCTAGAGGCACCCTACAGACGGAGAGGGACTATGTCCTTTTTGGGTAGAGCAATGAGTAGACAGAATATATAGATGGATGGACTGGGCAGGGATGGGGAGCTGGCTGTGTTCGCTCACTTATAAAATTCAGGCTTGTGAAAAGGATTAAGTGAGCACGTGTGTGAGAGTTCCAGCATCTGCAGACAAGGCCAGCTCGATTCCTGCTACTAATTGTTACTAGTAACGCTATGCTTACCATGATTCCTGCTGCCTATGTTTCTAGCAACCAATCCACTAAGCCTCAAGCAGAAGTGACCCCCTTCCCTAGTCTGTAAAGTCAATTGCAGCTCCCTGCTCCTGGGGGGAAGTTTTCTTCCTTCTTTACACTCCTCTTGTAGTTGAAATTCTGACTGTCAAGGCAGCTTGCAGGGATCAGGCTGCCAAAGACAGAGGGGGAACCGAGAGCCCATGTGTGCTCCTGGACTGGCCCCTGCCCCCTGGCTCTCCCAACCCATCTCTCTGGGCTGCCTCCGCTTTTCTAGTCCTTTCTCTGTCCCAAATGCCGTAGACTCCTCGGCGGACCTAAGTGGGTGGAGGGTAGCAGGGCAAGGAAGGAAAGGTGGTGTTTGCAGACCTTTTAATGTAACAAGGAGGTCAAGAGCCTAGGTTCAAATCTGCTAATCCCGGGCTATGCGCCCCTGGGGAAATTGCCTAATCTCTCCGTGCCTCTGTTTCTCCACCAGAAACTGGAAGTACTTATACCAACCTCATGGAGATGTTGTGAGGATTAACTGAGTTAATAAATGTAACTGGTTAGAACCATGCCCATATGAACCATGTAAGCATTAGCTGTTACTACCATTATTACTGTGTGAGGTCATTAAATTCTCACAGATCTTATTATGGTATCACTGTCATTCTCAATTTATAATACCCACACTATATGTAGACTAAAAACTATAAATAAAAATATAGGTATATATATATTTGGATTGTCTGATTCTGTGAGTCATGCAAAACGGAGTGGCTTAACTTTGCAGTTAGAGGGAAAAACATTTCAGGACACAAGTTCTATAGGTCCTCACCCAATACATACAGTTTTTAACTAGCTGAGATGCTGGCAAATGGGAATCCCTCTAGGCATAGAGGGTCTTTGGGCCTTGGTCTCCTAGCTGTTTGGTATTCTCTCTCTCTCTCTTTTTTTCTTTAAGAGAGAGAGAGATTGAGAGAACAAGTGGGAGGAGGGGCAGAGGAGGAAGCAGACTCCCCGCTGAGCAGGGAGCCCGATGTGGGGCTCAATCCCAGAACCCCAGGATCATGACCTGAGCCGAAGGCAGCCGCTTAACTGCCTGAGCCACCCAGGCGCCCTTAGCCGTTTGGCATTGTCCTGGGAATACCCACGACTCCCCGATCCCTATCCCACCAGTTTAAATGCTCAGAACCCTCTGGTTGTCTGAAACCCGTGAGGCCTTGAGGAAAACAGGAAGAGTCTGACAAGCATTCATTATACACCTGCTCTCCGGGTCAGAAGTTATAGGTCTGGCCCTCACACTGGTTTTGCCACACTCAGAGTCTGAAACATATTTGAGCTAGTTAGCATCAATTACACATAAAAATCTAGATTTCTGCCTTCTCTTGAAAAAGCAGATCTGCCATAGAAGCCTGCCTTCCACTTGATGGTAATGGGCGAAAGTGAGAGGCCGCTGCTCACTTTCCATGGGGTATGGCTTCTCCAGTTTGCTACAGTCCTCAGCACTCCGTATTGTCTTGCTGCTGTTACTGTATTGTCATGACTATCTGTGTCACTCACACAGCTTACTTGGTTCCTACAGACATGTAGATTTGTGACTCCTGCTAGTCTAGGAATTTTCATCAAACCTGCATTGGCATCTTAACTGTCTCAATAGTTGGGAGTGGAAGGTTCTTTTCCCCCATTAAAGAAATTTTAAGCACCAGTAAGCTGGTCAAAAAACTGCTAGCTCTTTGAAGGTTTTGAAGTTGATTGTTATATATGGAGTGTTCCAGAGAGAGGGGATCTGAAAGTTTGCCGGCCTCTGAAAGGTGCTCAAAGCTCCAGGAGACCAGAATGAGGAGTCTGTAAGGTGGGATGGACAGATGGATAAACTCCAAATCCCCTTCACCAGCTCCACCCTGGACTTGAGCCCCTGCCTGGCCTGGGGATCTGTGCAGACCAAGCTGCTCATAGAGGTGCCCCCCTCATCTTTGCCTACCCACCAGCCTCTACATCATAGCCCAACTCCTCCTTCCTGAACCTCAATTATTTTGGATCTCAATTTTAGGCTTGCTGGCACATTGGATCTTATTTTACTATAGTACATGATTATTTTTATCTGATATTTTGGAATATACCCCTAGGTCTTCTTCACGAGTTATACTCTGTTTCTGAATATTCTGAACCCCCCCCAAAAAAAAAGTCACTGGAATGTGTGTTCTCCATCAACAGAGGCATACCGTATGCTCGGAGTCCAGAAGGGTGGGTTAAAGAACTCCCCAAGCTCGCTGCTCTACCTATTACATGGGGCTAAGAAAAACCATGAGTCATAAATGGCAACTTCCTCTTGGACTCCTGAAACCATGTAAGTTCATCCTGATGGAAAGCCCGGTGCTGTGAAAGTCTGTGGGCTGGGTTCTGACAAGCCAGATCTGTTGCCACAGTAGCTCCACAACAATCTTTAAAAATAGATCACCTTTGAAAGCAGAGCAGATTTTCCCGTTAAGCCCAGCATGGATTCTCTGGGGCTCTTAATAGCTCCGCTTGGAGGAAGATTCCCTGGATTTGAAAGTAAAAGACTGGAGAAAGGCCAAACAGGACAGAAACCAAAAGACACTGGCGAAGCTAAGGGAGTGGCCCAGCTAGGAACGGCCACATAAAGCCGCCAAAGCTCTCCAAGGGGCTTATGTCCCAGCTCCGCCACCTGCTGGCCTGTCCTAAAGGCAGCTGGTTACAGACCCAGCCACGCCTGCGCAGACAGGCAGGCAGCGAGCCCCGCCCACAGAAGGTTTGAGCTCACCGTGGTGCTCGGTCCTCCCAGAAGCGATGCCAGCGTGGGCGACAAAATGTGCGGAGACTGCTGCCTCCTCTTGGGAGGGGCTTCTGCTCAGCACGATGAGATGCGCCTGTCACCAGGGAAAGAAGAAACACGTTCGTTTACCTGCTTGGCGGCAGCAGTAGGGAACTAACCGTTCTTGCAGCGGTAAGCAGAAAGTTAAGGAACTTTCTAGCCAGCTAGACAATATGATTTATGTGGAAGCACAGTCGATTCTTAGAAGACCTGGATCTTAAAGGCATCATGAAGTGGAGAGGGAAAGGCTGGGTCCAGATGGCGTGAAGCTGTGACCAGGGCACATCGCTAAGTAAATCATGTAAAAGTCTCTGCTCCTAGGAGTGTGGTAGCGTGGTGTCAGCCGAGGGGGCACGGGGAGGCGGGGAGGAAGGTTTCAAGAAGGAGATGGGTTACCAGGAAGTGGGCGAATCCAGCCCCCTGCCGGCGCTCAGCCCAGAAAGGGGGATCCCCCCGAAGGTGTTCGCAGCCTCCCCAGGGCCTGATCCACCAAGCCCATTGGCCTGCACCCTCTTCAAACCGGCCCATGGGGCTGCCTGAGCACAGAAAACAGCTCAGTTCCTTGAAAATAAAATCCAATTTAAAATTCTTTAAGAGGAAAAAAAAAATAAAACCTATGATCCTGTGAATATAAAATAACAGTCCTCTCAAATAAAATGCAAAATATGTCTCTCCAAATAAAAAGATAGAAAATAAAAAATAAATGAGAAAATAAAGCTATATTCATCTGACTGTGGACATTTAAAGTTTTAAAAATGCTATCAGTAATAGGTTTACATTCATTCAATAAACATAATTATTGATCGCCTATGGCAGGAGGGGCCCGGTCTAGAAAGTGTGGGCAGTAGGGAAAGGAACAGGAAGTGAGCATGACATCATACAATGCACTAATGCGAGATGGTAGGTAGTTTGCAACTAATTGCCAAAAGGGTGACAGAAATACTAAAATATCGCGAACCTAAAGGAGAAATGCCAGACTGGGACAGGCAAGACATACTAACAGCAAGTAAGATTTCCTTCTCATTTGTGGTATTGATTTTAATTTTCTTAATTTTTTTTAAGATTTTATTTATTTGTCAGAGAGAGACAGAGAGGGAACACAAGCAGGAGTGGGGGGTGGGGAGCGGCAGGCAAAGGGAAAAGCAGACTCCCAGCGGAGCAACTGACTGCTCAACTGACTGAGCTCCCCAGGCGTCCCGATTTTCTTAATTTTTGTTATCCATGTTTTGTAGATGAGAAAGCTGAGGTTGCAGAATGGGTGACTTGCCCAAGATAGCTCACACCTAATAAAGGGTGGAGATAAGACTCTGACCTTGATACTCTGACTTCAGATTTGCTTTTTATTCCGCCCTGGCCCCTGGTGCATCACTAATTGATGCCAGCATACTCCGCACAGCCCCCAGGAGCTGTGACTGATGCATGGGATCTGGCCTAGGAGATAAAGCCATACCATTATAACTTTTTAGTCCAGGGGCACCTGGGTGGCTCAGTCGGTTAAGCGTCTGCCTTCGGCTCATGTCACGTTCTCCAGGTCCTGGGATCGAGCCCCGCATCGGGTTCCCTGCTCTGCGGGGAGTCTGCTTCTCTTTCTCTCTCTCTCTCTCTCTCTCTCTCTCTCTCTCTCTCTCTCTCCCCCTCCCTCTGTCCCTCCCCACTGCTCCTTCTCTCTCTCTCAAATAAATAAATAAAATCTTAAAAAAAACCAAACTTTCTAGTCCAGACCAAACAGTGAGACGGCAAAGACTTAGAGACTTGGTCCGCTGATGATCAGCTGAACCCATTTCTGAGCTGATAATCAGGGTAGACGCTAGACTGTCGCCTCATTTGTCATATTTAAAATCAGCTGAGTTACTAGCTCTCGGCTTTTTATGATAGGGGTTACTCCAAATCAAGATTGCTGGCCATAACTTTAATTGTTGTGTTAGAACAACCAGAATTTCATATTCATAAATGCTAACAATATCCTCTGTTTTAAAACTACTTTTCTTATTATAGGATATAAATAAATATATAAATTGAACAAGTAATTTCAGCGACCTCCCAATTAGTCATTATTCTCAGTTTGGCCTGAAGCTCTGACTTGAAATGGTTTTCAAATAATGCACACTCCAAAAAGTAAAGACAATCGGAGCCACAGGGATAGAGTCAAAGCATCACATGGTCAGGGTTTGCAGAGAGGAAAAAAAGAGAGGAAAAGCCTGCCCCACCCCAAATGCAAACTGAATCCTGTTTACTTGGGGTTTTCCCCTGGCTAACTATCTCTACAATCCACCACTGGGGACAACATCCAGCGATGCAAGAAATGATTTAAATCACATTGTCACAAAGACTTTTAACATATACAGTACTTTAGATTGATTAAAACCCAAATTCAAATTAAAAAAATTTCGTATGTAGTTTCCACTCAATATTATAATTCAAGGCAATGTAAAAGATAGATGTCTACCAAAATTATTTTCAAATTAATAATTACACGTTCTGAAAGTTCTGTAGGTTGCCTTTTGCTTCTGGAGACAGGAAGCAAAATCTTCCAAGAGCAAAAATGCTCACGATATCAAGAAAGTGGATCCTGAGAGCTTAAGGGGATCTGAATTTCACAAAATTGTCATCACCTCAACATTTTTCTGTAATTAGTGAGATACTAATATAAGCAAACATTTATTATTCATTTTTCAGAAACTCCATCCCTGATCTACTTTATATTTGATGTTCTTGAAGCTTCTAAAAACCATATGCTGGTTTAACATTGAGGGAGTTGGGGTCGGGGAGGAAAAGGGAACCATGATGTTTAGAATGTGCAAGATTAGCATCTCATTGACCAGATTGTGTCCTCCATCACACTTGGGGCCTTATCATGGCTTATTCTCTGCTACCTCTGGATCATGCAGCTGACAGACCCCCTTGCCCTATCACGTCCTGCCTCGATCACGTCCATGCAATTTCTAGTCCTCTATCCACTCCCCGCTTCTCACTATCCATCTGCCCCCTCCTGCTGTCTCTTCCCTTCCTGGCCAGCTCGGAGATCACCACCCCTCACTCTTGATATAAAAAAAAAAAATGTCCTCAACTTCACTGAGGCATTATTTCAAATGGTGAAAAAGGGGAAATCATCTAAATATCCATGAGAAGGGGAATGAAATATTATGGTGTATTCATACAAGGATTGAACTCTACCTAGGTATACCAACATGGTTACATTTCAGAAACGTACCAGTGAGGGGAAAAGTAACTTACAAAAGGTTGTGAACATCATGGCACCACTGAGTTTCAAGTTTCTGTTCTGAAGCAAAAAACCCCCCGAAAAACCCTTTCATTCCAAATAGAATCTTCCATGTTCTCTAAAGTGCAGAGCAGGTAAGAGTGGAGCGGCTGTCCCTGAAGCAGGTGGAGAGGGCCTAGAAGTTCACCCAGCTGCGCCCACCCAGCTGTGCCCTAAAGACCCTCCATGGAACGTGAGGGCTCCGGAGGATGCAGACTGAGAACCACAGCTCAGCAGGGAACAGGAGGCCCCCTTAGCAAGTAAGTACAAAGGCAGCTGACAAAGCTAGTGATTAGATTACCCAATTCGCCAAACTAAATCACTGTTCACGATTCTGGAACAACACTCTGTTTGCTAAGAGAATATAAATACCCCTGTTGTATACATCTGAGAGCATTTAAGGACTAGTTGTTAGTGTTAACAGAATTATAGGAGCTAGGCTTGCCTCTCTGGCTTTATGCAGGAGCCCAAGTAATGGGCCCCGCTGGGGATCTGTGGCTTGACTACACTCGCTCCTCATTATTTATTAATCTCCCAGGGCTCAAATCTTTCCTCCCGTTCTTTGTTGTCTTCAGTATCTTAGGGTTATATGTTTATCAACTGTCATCTTGAAGCTGAGAGGGAGTGTTTAATATTCCTAAATCTCTTGAGCTGTTAGCGTGTTGTACTGGGTTAATAACAAAAACAAAAACCAAACCTTTAATATCCCATATTGAGCAAGGCCCTTAATTGAAAAACCTCATTCACCAGACAAACCACCTCCAGCCCTGCCAAGGTACAGAGCAGCTGTTGCCTTCTGGTCCTTCTGCGCGTTTTGGGGGGAAACCACCGAGTCCGCAGCGCCAATCCAGCTGTCAAGAGTTGGAGCTGGCAGACTCTTATCGAACTGAGCCTGTCCCCTTGGATTTGCGAAATGTGTAATAGCTCTTGAAGAGAAAACTTGATGACTAGTAAAAAGGATGTTTCTATTTATGCAAGCAGACCCCATCATGTGAACACTCAACTTAAAACATGCATGGTTCTGACGGCAGAACCCCAGCTCTTGGCAGAAGGGAGGGACAGATTCTTTTCCCATTCGGTAATAAGTAGGGGATCACTAACGCAGAGAGAAATCTCTCCCATAGCCAAGCAGAGAGTACACAAGTCGCTCAAGGAACATTTGTGGACCTAAGCTGGGTCTCTCTACCCTGGGGACATGAACACTCATGGGGAAGGCAAGAAAAGTCTCCAACTCAGTAACTGCCAGGATCTCTTTGTACAGCTGAGGGCTAGCACTGGACAGGACAGTGGGAAGGCGGAAACTCACACTGATTCAGCACCTACTTTTGTCAGGCGTAGTGCTATGTGAATTATATACACCAGCTCGCTTAGTCGCGGAAGGAGTGGTTAAGAGTGATGTCAACAGCCCAACTGATAGATGGGAAAATGAAGCACCCAGGAGATCAAGCAACTAACTGAAGGTCATATAGCGGGGTCCGTGGTAGGACAGGGATTCAAACCAAGGCCTGTGATTCCCAGTTGCATCCTTTTCTAGTCTAACATCTGGTTTTCAAGAGAGTCGAATTTACAGAACGATGATTTTCTTTTTTTTTTTTTTTTTTTAAAGATTTTATTTATTTATTCATGACAGACAGAGAGAGAGAGAAGTAGAGAGAGAAGCAGGCTCCCAAGGAGCAGGGAGCCCGATGCGGGACCCGATCCCAGGACCCTGGGATCATGACCTGAGCCGAAGGCAGACGCTTAACCATCTGAGCCACCCAGGCGCCCCAGAACGATGATTTTCTAATCAACGTAATGAAGTATTATTTGAGAGTCAGAGAAATAGTTGCTAGGTAGTAGGTTTGGCCCAGAAGTTGAATGGGCTGGGTAGGGGGAGACCGGGCTGCCAATATGTGGATCCCGAAGCAGCTTCTGAGAACTAACCGCAGAGGGACGACACCACAGTGGGGAGTTAGGCAGTGGGTGACGGATGGAGCAGATGATAAATGTGCCTTCCACCACGTGTCTGTGTGTCTGTTTTGATTCAAGTTAGTGCCTCAATTCCACTGAAGCTCAAGTCCCCTTGTCACTGTGAGGTGTGAGCTTGCTGTGTTTCTTCTAGAACTGACCAGCCGTGTAGTTACATGGCTTTCCCTCCTGGCTTCGCCGGAGCTGGCCACCCCCACCCTTCAGCTTTGGGCTGATGGCCTTGTCCAGGACAGGGTCATGCTGCAGCTTGAGGTTGACACTTCCTTTTCTCTCCAATCTCTGGCCAGGAGGGAAGGCTTTCATGGCTACCCACACCGCAGGGGCCTGGGGCAGCCGGGAGAGCCTTGGCAAAGAGAAAGATGTTGCTGGAGCTCCCCGGGGGTGGGGGTGGGGGTAGGGAGTAGATGAAAGGGAAGTCACTGGGTGCAGAGGGCAATGAAAAATAGTTCCGAGGGCCCCAGAGGAAGCCAGTTTCTTTTAATAGAGAGAGTCCTCTGTGGCAGCTCTCCAGCTGTCAATTATAGCTCCTCCAAAGGGCTGGGGGAGAAAAGGTCCTGCTCTCCGTAAGGGTTCACACCAAAATAGATATGTTGGGAACCTAGATTTTCATCCTCTCTTGGTGATAAGTGTGTGTTTTCTTAAAATGTAGTGGGATTTTTTTAGATTTATAGGAGTAATACCACTATATGATTTTGAAAGATCCTAAGTGGTAAGTTAAAACGCCCTCTCCCTTCTGTCTATAAGGCTCACCCTCTTCTCCCGATTTGCAGTCTGATTCCTTATAGCTATCACTATCAAGTTTCCCATGTGTCCTCTTAGAAACACTGACATGTTCATACAAACGCACAGATGCACAGACGCGCACGCATGATCGTAACCTGACTCTGCCCTGCCCTCCTCCCCCAGCTTTATCTGCCACCATCCCCCTGGGCTCTGCCACAGGGGCCCCGCTCCCCTCTCCTCAATCTTTGGGGTGTCCCAGGTCACTCTGCTGGGAGCTCTCACAGCACTCGGTACCTCTCCCCATGTGCATGTCACAGTTGCCTTTCACATTCATCTGGGTGACTATTCAGCTAAGACCTATGTCACTCCCTAGTCTGCTCCTCGAGGGCGGGACCCTCCATCATAGTCCCAGTGCGGGCCACTGTGCCTTGGCACGTTGCCGGGTCTGACCAGTTGTTGACTGAGTAAACATTCTGGTCTACATCTGGCTTTTTAAAAATAATAATGCACTCCAGGCATCTTTCAAGTGAGAACATACACATCCATCTCATTCTTTTCAGTGCTCCTATGGTGTTCCACCACATGGGTATATCATCATTTCATAACCAGTCCCCTATTAATGGATTTTAAGAGTATGTCTAATTTCTAAAGGCTTGCTTTTGCCAGTGACACAGTTTCACTGCTTATACATCTTCACACATGTGTACACATCTATCTGTTGTATAAGTTTCTAGATGTGAGTTGGCTGGTCCAAGGGTCAGTGCATTATAAAATTAGAAAGAGAATATCAACTGTTTTCTCCCAAAGTGGTGCCAATCCCCACTCCTTCCAGCAGTGCACAGGGATGCCGGCTTTCTTGTACCCTTGTCACCATGGGCATCCTCAAACTCTTTTATTTTGCTCACAGCAGGTGAAAATGGCCTTTCTTCAATTAAAGTGCCTTTCTTAAATAGCAAATGACATTGACGATTATTTTTGTATGGTTATTGGCTATTTGTAGTTCTTCTGTAAACTGACCGTTCCTGCCTTTTGTCTATATTTCTACTGAGTTGTCTTTTTCTAGATTTTTTTAAAAAGATTTATTTATTTATTTTAGAGAGAGAGAGCATGAGCAGGAAGGGCAGAGGGTGAGGGAGAGAGAATCTCAAGCAGACTCCCCGCTGAGTGCAGAGCCCAACACAGGCTCCAACTCAGGACCCCGAGATCATGACCTGAGCTGAAACCAGGAGTCGGATGCTTAACCAACTGAGCCATCCAGGCACCCCTCACCTAGCTTTTATAAGAGCATTATTATTTTATAATAATAAAGAGCATTATTATTTTATAAAAAAATAGTTACTTAAAAAGAAACAGTATAGCACCTGGATTTATGTCATTCTTAGAAAATTTTTATAATGCACAGAATCATAATTGCATTCTGCATCTTTTCTAATTTTAAACAAGAAAAGGCTAGTATTTTCAGAGCTTTGGGAAATTATAAATAGCATATTACAGCAAATACACAGCGATGAACCAGAACCAATCAGAGGCGTTGCCATTTGCTGTGTGGTCTGAAGCTGGCAGAAGCCCAGTGTGAGCACCTGTCAGCCATCCCCTGGGCCTGGCCAAGGCTGATAACCTGCCCAGAGGAACCTGAAGCCACATTTTCTGACCTCCAAGTTTATGGTAGAATGACTGATAAATTAGTTCGCAGTACTCCGTGAATCCAACTGCCCCCAAATCTGGGAACTACTGAGAGGCAAGCTGCCTTGAAAACTGAAAAGAAAGATAGACAATTCAACTGTCAGAGCTGTCAAAAAGCAGCCAAAGCTCATGGGGCGTTAATTTATCCCCCCTGAACACATACATCCATGAACATCCTCACAGAAATGAGATCCTGCGAGTTTTCTTTTGGATGGGCAAACACGGGTCTCTTGCCCAAATCTGCCATGAATAGTTTAAACAATCATGCCTGCAGGCTGTCTCGCAGATCCCTGATGCAGGGGGGCCAATGGGGCCCAGAGCAGTCCGGTCACCAGCCCCTGGGACCACCGCTTTCCCCAGGTGGTGGGCTCATGGGGCTTGGTATTTTTCTCCACTTGAATGGCTTAGTTCCTAAAATACTTTAGGAACTTGTCAACATTCTACAGAAAATAAAAGGTCTTTTCTCTCTGGGCGTTTCTCTCACTCCAAAGGAATGAAGAGTGGAAAAACTAGAGGGGGAAATAACAAAACCCCTTTTCTTTGTGGGTACTTACTAAATGGCTTTTAGGCAAGGGCTCCCATGCAGAACTGCAGCGACACTGTATCTTTCTATATCTAGGTAAGTCTCTGACAGAAAAGAGGGGCCTTGATAAATGTTTAATAATTACTGTTAATAAATAAAAGGAGCTTATACTGACAACATGCCTAATGGTTCATAAAGCACTTTCCATTTTGAACCTTGGAGCAGTTATGAATTAGATAGGGCCTTTTGTAGGACTGTTCTTTTTTTGTTTTGTTTTTTGCTTTTTGGAGAGGTTAAATGACTTGTATAATCAAACTGCAGACAAAGAGAAGAATCTGGACTCCCACTCAGATTTTCTGACTT